TAAACATAGCTGGACTGAATTTACATGGTCTCTTGGAGTTCCTTGGGCTAGGCCTGACATCGGGAGTTTAAATTCTCCTCCTCGGTTCTTAGGAATCCAAGGTCCTTGGGAAGAACTTGATGCGAATGAAGGCTAAAGAACCAGCTAAAGAACTGGCAGCTTGATTTCACGTTGTTGTGTATATAACAACAACAACTTGTGTTTTTCTCCATCCAGATAAGTTCACATCAAAAGCATTAATTCATGAGGACTAGTGTCTCGAAATGGGATTTATGTAGGTAGGGTAACCTCAAAGCATGCGATCCCTGCGTGCATGCCAAAAATGCTCACCTGAAGTGAAGGTGGCTGGCTCCACCCATGGATCTGTGCCCGACCATGCTCCTGCCAGATGTGTGAGCGGATCTCACAGTACAGTTCTCGCCGCTTCTGCTGTGGGGAGCCATCAGCCCTGCATTAAATGGGCGAACAATCCAATTCATTACAAAGCAGGAAAGCTCGTTGTATGCTGGTGGAAGATGCATGCCTGCTTAAAGCACTCACAGCATCACTCCGAGTAGGAAAAAAAAAAGATTTTTAGGTTAACAGGGGAGGAGAAAGATTTCTACCCCAAAGGGGGAAAAAAATAACCACCACCTGCTGGGAACCTGGAAGAGCTGTGAGCAAACAGTGCACACAAAATTGAGCAGGGCAGATTAGTGGCAAAGAAGTAGCCAAACAACCTTGCATCATGTTTCCAAGGATTCCTGGTAAGAGGAATTGAGAAGTTAGGTCTTCTCCAGTGTTTCTCAACCTTGGCAGCTTTAAGATGAGTGGACTTCAGCTCCCAGAATTCCCCAGCCAGCCATGCTGGCTGGGGAATTCTGGGAGTTGAAGTCCACACACACATATCTTAAAGCCACCAAGGTTGAGAAACACCGGTCTACTCTCTCGTAAACTTACTCAGTGGGCGAGGTTGCTCGTGGGATGAACCTCAGGGTGTTCCGTCCCGAATCTCTGCGGTTGCTGGAGCTGGGGCTGGGCCAGGCCCTCCCTGGTGGCGGAGGGGAGGCAACAGTGCTCTCAGGAGAATCTGATGGGCTGAATAGGCGATCAAAACTGCCGGGGTGGGGGTGGAAGGAAACCAATATGGTTAGAGGAAAGAGAAGGGCAAGGAGTCCGTTCTAAAAAACACATCTGAAAGCAAGTAGCAGTAAGGTAGGTCACTGAGGCCAGGAGATCTCGGTGACCTGAACAAACAAACCACAGCATGGAAGTTCTTTGCCTGCCAAGTTTTATTCCCTTTCTGTTCCAGGGGTCTAGCAATAAATTGCAGTTGAGGCGGCCCAGCTAGAAATCTTAAGCTACATATCACTAGGCATCGTCCTCCCACATACTGTACTTTCAAGTCAACGCTTGCACCCAGGAGACCTAGAAATGTTCTTTGTTTCAAAAGAAAAAGAAAAGATGATGCTCAGGATGCTAAGTTGGGTACGCAGGGCCGAACCCCCCATGGCAGAATCACGAAACCGCTCGCTTTCGCTACTGAAGTAGTTCTTACGCAGCACCTACATTTTCCAAAACGATGATTTCTTCATTTGAATCGCTTGTTCCTCGCGTGATGCCCTAAGAAGAAATAAACAATTATTTAAGGGTGTCTGCCCCGGTGCATTTTGGTATTTATTCTCTCACTTGGAACAGCCACTAGAAAAAGAAAAGAGGTAACCAATTCATACCCATCCCTGAATCTATTCTAACTGCTGCTTAAACACAAATTGGCACTTAAGAGCTACAACAGTTACAGACTAGAGCAGTGTTTCTCAGCCTTGGCAGCCTTGAGAATTGTGGGGTTTTAATCCCCCCAATTCCCCCCCCCCCCCACTCGCGGGGGGGGTTTTTGGGGTGTAGGGTACAC